TCCCAGAGATGCTCCAGTTCAAAGGATTTTAAAAAATATCATTTAGGTAAAAAAAAAAAAATTTCGGAAAAATTTCGAAAAATGACGTCATAACTGTCAAAATTGCCCAGAAATGGGTCCTTGATCAGGCCATTTTTGAAATGCAAAAATGCACTTAACGTATACCCATCTTTAAATTGCTATAACTTTTTTTCTAATTATCCGATTCGGCTGAGCCTACATTTTTCTGACTCGTTAGGAGTTTCTGAAAAAAATTTCTTTTGGGGAAAATTCTGTAAACACATTTTTTAAGGAGTTTTTTTGTAAAACATGCCAAAAATTGGCGTTTTTTCAACCCTTAAATTTTCGGTTGTTTTGGAGCGTTTTTTGGACACTTCGCCATTTTTAAATTGCTATAACTTTTTTTCTAATCATCTGTTTTGACTCAGCCCACGTTTTTCTGACTCGTTAGGACTTTCTGCAAAGAACCCTTTTTGTGCGAATAAAGAAAAAATATTTTTTTCGACTTTTTTTTGTAAAACGTGACAAAAATAGGCTGAAAAATTTGCGGTTTTTGAGGGGTTTTCGCCAACTTTAAAATGCTCTAACTTTGTCCCTAATTATCCGTTTTGACTCAGACTTGGTTCGCCAGGCTCGTGAGGACTTTCTGCAATGAACCCTCTTTGTGCGAATTCTGTAAAACAAATTTTTATTCCTTTTTTTTGCAAAAAACCTTTTTAAAAATTTTTTTTTTTTCAATAGTCAAAATTTAAATTGCTCTAACTTTCTCCCTAATTATCCAATTCTGCCCAATTTTTTGGATTTACACTCCAGAAGAGTATATAAACTTAGAACTATAAGGGCGTCATGAAGAAAAAATTTTTTGCATTTTTTTTCTTGCTAAATTTGCACACATATTTTTTCTTTTTAATAAATTTTTTGGAATTTTTGCTCTAACTTTGTCCCTAATTACCACATTCGGCTCATTTTTTTCCTACACACTTCTGATTTGTTTAGAAAGCCAAATTTTTTTCGGCAACGTGAAAAAAAATTTTTTTCTTAATTTTTATCAACTTTGAAAAAAATTTTTCAAAACTTTTTTTTTATTCTAAAATCACTTCTGGTGAGTCCCAGAGATGCTCCAGTTCAAAGGATTTTAAAAAATATCATTTAGGTAAAAAAAAAAAAATTTCGGAAAAATTTCGAAAAATGACGTCATAACTGTCAAAATTGCCCAGAAATGGGTCCTTGATCAGGCCATTTTTGAAATGCAAAAATGCACTTAACGTATACCCATCTTTAAATTGCTATAACTTTTTTTCTAATTATCCGATTCGGCTGAGCCTACATTTTTCTGACTCGTTAGGAGTTTCTGAAAAAAATTTCTTTTGGGGAAAATTCTGTAAACACATTTTTTAAGGAGTTTTTTTGTAAAACATGCCAAAAATTGGCGTTTTTTCAACCCTTAAATTTTCGGTTGTTTTGGAGCGTTTTTTGGACACTTCGCCATTTTTAAATTGCTATAACTTTTTTTCTAATCATCTGTTTTGACTCAGCCCACGTTTTTCTGACTCGTTAGGACTTTCTGCAAAGAACCCTTTTTGTGCGAATAAAGAAAAAATATTTTTTTCGACTTTTTTTTGTAAAACGTGACAAAAATAGGCTGAAAAATTTGTGGTTTTTGAGGGGTTTTCGCCAACTTTAAAATGCTCTAACTTTGTCCCTAATTACCCAATTCTGCCCATTTTTTTGGATTTACATGTAAAAATTATGTTCGGTCAAATTTTTTTTTTTTTTTTTTTTTTTTTTTTAAGTTTTTTGGAAATTTTTTTTGTACTAATCTTTAATACACAGTTTAGTATTTCTTGTTAATAATGTACCTTTTTATGTTGCTTGACATGTTTTTTGCTGCAGAATTTTGACTTAATTTAATGGCTCTTTTTGACCGTATTTTGATCTGTTGGTAGAAGAATAGATCAAAATACACATAGATTTTGACGAAAAGTTTTAGGCCATTTTTTAGCCGCAGGTCAAAAATTATTCCAAATTTAACATAGATTTTGACGTATCGTGAAGGTATTTTTAAGAATCCTTTTGACATGTAGGTTAAAAAATTGTTCAAATGTCACATAAATTTTGACGTAATGTAACGGCCTTTATTCGACCCTCGTTTAACCTGTAGGACAAAAAATAAGTAATAAATTAAGTTATTAAATTATTAAATACATTAAATAATTCTCAATATATACTATTTTTATAAAATTTATAAAACGATTTAATTATAGAAACAAAAATTTTGATACAATTCTACGAAAACATTCAATTATTTTCATAAATAAAAAAATTTCATTTAGGAATTCAATTATTTTCGTCGCCGTATTTAAAATATTTCTAATACAATTTTAAATAAATTCCTTGAAAAATGCAATTATTATTAACACGGTAAATCGTTAGGTATTAAAATAACACAAAAAAAATTAAAATAATCCAATTTAGTGTTATTTCAACACCTAACGATTTAACGTGAAAAATTTTAATAAAACTTGAGGAAAGAATTCAATTTTAAAAAACATTTAATTACTCAATAAAATTTGTTGCTATAATTCAAATATTTTCATAAATAACATTTAATTCGTCGCAGGAAATCAATTATTTTCAAAAATGTTTAGTAATTCTGCAAAAGATTTTAATTAGTTTGATAAACAACAAAATTATTTCCATAAAATCAATTATTCTAAGGAATTTTAATAAAATTTTTTACCAAAATTCAGTTATTTTGATAAATATAAAAATTGTTCACAAGAATTCAATTCTTTTGAAAAATAATAAAATACTTTACAAAAATCAAATTATTTTTAAAATTTTTTAAAAATTCTCGTCAACACGGAGAGAAATTTATAGTAGTGGGTAACATAATTGTGGTTAGGGTGACCATCTTTAATGCTACGTATACAGACAGCTATCTAGATAGTCACCGTTACCATCAATATCATCAGGAGTAACATCTTGGTAGTACGGGGTAGCATAACTATATTTTTTTTAGCATCTGTGATGGTTGGCAGTAGCATAATGATAGTATCGTGTAACATCATCTTTTTAACATCAAAATCTGACTATCCATTTCTCTCAGTGAAGAATTAAATTATCTTTATAAATAGATACCTAGCTAAATTCTTCTCAAAAATTAAATAATTGTCGAAAATTTCGCATGAATTCAAATTGTTTTCAAAAATTATTATTTAAATTCTTTTCAAGAATTCAATTATTTTTAAAAGTTTTAAAAAAATTCTCTAAAAATTTTTCAATTATTTTCAAAAATTGTTATAAAATTCTTTAATATAATAAATTTCAGTTAAATATTCATTAAATTTTTTAAAAGAAATTCAATATTTTTAAAAATTATTAATAAAATTCTCGTAGAATTCAATTATTATTTTTTGCACTTTTAACTAACAATTCTGTAGAATAAATTGTTTTGAAAATGTTTAAATGAATAATAATTGAAGTAATTGATTTAAAGAAGAATTTTATTTGAAAATTATAAAAAATAATAATTGAATTGAAATGATGAAAATAATTTTAATTCTAATGAAAAAAAAAATAAAGACTAAATATTTATTTTAAATAAAACTATTGACGTTTTCGAATAATTTTACAATTAAAGAAATTCTTAAATTAATATAAATTAGAACATTTTTCTAAGTATCTAATAACTTTTGAGTGAATCAGAATATTCTTTAGGGTCAGGGAAAAAGTCAAAGTTCTGTCTAGAAATCAGGAAAAAGTCAGGGGAAAATAAATTAAAATTTTTGTGTTAAAACCTTATATTGAATATCATTGAATTGAAAAATTTTTTTTTTTATTTTTTTTCCCCCTCTTTTTGAGGAAGATACCCAGTAAACGAAAACTAATTGAAATGAATTAAAAAGAATTCACAAAGAGCTTTCGTGAATCCCGCTTTGTGACAAATACGAATTGGAGCCATGATGCAATTTTCCTGAATTCGTGAAACTGTATTGAACTTCCGAACCTTCTATCCGTACCAATTCACTGGACAAGTTTTGAGCCTTTAATTTTTTTCAATTCGTTAGCACGAATTCAATGCATTCCTTGGCCATTTCTTTCGAATGCGAATTCGTTTGGACAAATTGGTACATATTGAATTAAATTCAATTGAATATACAAAGAGCTTGAGTGAATCCCGCTTTGTGACAAATACGAATTGGAGCCTACCAAAAATGTTAATTCGTTTCAATTCATTTGAATTAGTTTTTTTTACTGGGTAATAATGTTACTTTGTCCTGTCTTTAAAAAGGCGATAAGGAACAGGTTGAAAATTATCGTCCATTTTATATTATTAATAACTTCTCGAAAATATTTGAAATGTGCATTTGTGAGGTTTTTTACAGCAGCGTTGCAAATGTTATATTTATTTATCAGCATGGTTTAGTCTCTAAGGGCTAATTCCACTAACCTCAATTAAAATTTAATCAATGATGAAAGCCAGTTGAATGCCTTATGATTAATTGATTCAGGATTTAATCATTGATTAAATTTTAATAGTGAATACGTACTACTTCCAGCATTTGTCTCTAAATTGATGTATGCGTCTGTGGGTTGGTCTCCGCATTTCCAAAAATATATTGACTTAATTGAGGATTGTCATAAACAGTTCTTAAAATTCTTAGCGTATAAAAAACATTCAACCTATCCCTTAATAAGTAATTAAATTTTGATTCAAGACGTTTATTATCGACGTTTTTGTTGTTCATTCGATCCCTAAATTTTTGTACAAGTAAACAAATTTTCGAAGAAGACCAGTGATGAATATAAACTATAATCTAAATTATTTTATTATATTCCGACATTTTTTATCTCTTGACTTGACGTTTGATAATTTTTTTCCTCATTGCGCTTCACTGTGTTTCATTTATGATCGAAAAAAATTTCTCCGCAGTAATTTGTGATCCTTCGTAAAAAATGGAACCTCTATTTGTTTCCACGGTGTTCGTGGTATTCTTCCTCCACATTTTTTTACTGTGGAAGTACACTTATTTTCTAAGAAGAGGAATACCTACGATCAAGGGAATAATTCCGGGATTAGGTCACATACTACCCGTGATCACTATTCAAAAGGATATGGCAACTTTGTGCGAAAAATTCTACAACGAAACAAAAGAGTACAGTATGTGTGGATTCTATCATTTCTGCTCGCCTGTAATTCTAATTCGTGAACCAGAAATTATCAAGAATGTCCTTTCGACGAATTTCTCCTCATTCAGTAAAAATCCAATTGAACTCAGTTGTCCCGAAAAGGACGGACTTTTGAGAAGACATCCTTTCTTTCAAAAAGGCGACGAGTGGAAAAAAGGACGTGCTAGAATGGGAAATTGTTTATCGAGTTTGAAAATAAAATCGATCCTACCTCTTGTACGAACGTGTGTTTTGAAACTGAATACCAACTTGAAGGAACAATCGAAAACGAAAGGAACATTCGACTTGAATATTAAAGAACTGTTGAATAAATTTACAGGCGAAGTGTCGTCGAATTTAGTCGGAATCGAAGATGGGAATTTTCAGGAAGATAAAGATAGTGTTGAGAATTATAATAAAGTAATTGGAAAACTTTTCGAAACACCATCACTTGCTGCAGGACTCCAACAAATGATGTTATTCTACGCTCCCGCATTCGCGAAATTGATGAAATTCGGATTTACACCCAAAGAAGTTGATCACTATTTTCGTCAAATTGCTACGAAGATCATCAAAAAACGAAAGGAGGAAAAATTAGTTCACAACGATTTCCTCCAAATTGTTATGGATTACGAACAAATTCACTCTATTACTGAAAATGAAGAATTACTCGCAGCATCCCATATGTTATCGTTCGCTTTCGATCTCTATGAACTCATAGCAATTACAATCAGTCATCTACTCAACGATTTGGCCCATCGACCAGAAATTCAGAACAAAGTGCGTGAAGAAATTACCGCAGTACTCGACAAGTACAACGGTGAATTGACCTTAGATGCTATTAAGGAGATGACATTTTTCGACAAAGTCCTCAATGAATCACAAAGAATGAACCATATTTTAGGAGTCTTCTTTAAAATTTGCACCAAACGGACAAAACTTGAAGGAAAGGATGGTTTATTGTGTGTTGTTGAACCAGGACAAATGGTCGCTATTTCTGCCTATGGTCTTCAAATGGATCCGAAATATTGGAAGGATCCGGAAATATTTGATCCGGAGAGATTCGATCATGATGAGAAGAAGAATAATGGAGAGAAGTTTGCTTTTCTTCCGTTTGGCGAGGGACCGAGAATGTGTATTGGAATGAGGTTGTCCTTAATTTTGATGAAACTGTCAGTTTCTGGTATTTTGAGGGATTTTTCTGTTCAACCTTCTTCGAAAATGATTGTTCCAATGAGAAGGGATGAAACGAATTTTCTGAATTTTCCGAAAGGTGGGTTTTGGGTGAAGATCCTGCCTTTGAAAACTAGTGCTTTGTCTACTAGTGAGTCAGCAGCAGTAGGAGTAGTAGTCTAAGTATAGTAGCATAGACTACTACTTCTACTACTGCTCCTACTACTTCCACTATTTTACTAAATAATTTGCAAATTTGTATTTTTATACTTGCAGCAAGCTTGCTCTGCAAGTTTCGCAAGTTTGATGCAATCCGGCGTGGAAATGGAAGTATGGGTAAAAAATGGCAAACTATGGTAGACAATAGATCCTTTAACCCTTTAACGCCCAAATGTACAAAATTTTGACATGAAGTTTGAGGACTTATTTCGTTACTTAAAAATTGATAGAAAAAATCATCAATCATCATTTCTTATGTTTTCATATGCGTTCTATCGAATGGCGTTATAAAAAAATAAAAAATTTATAAACAAAAAAGTTATTAATGTTTTTAATAAAAAAAAGTCCGATTTTTTTCAAATTTCTGTTTAATTTTCAATTTATAAATTTTATATGCAATTTTAAATAATGTAAAGACAAAGTTAAAGTGCAATAGCTATAGCTATAGCAGTGATATGATTAATATTGCGACTCTCAATGTCAATTTAAAACAGGGAACTTGACCCTCTTTGGAATGAATGATAAATCGCTGTAAATAGCGTTCGGGAGATTTCTAGGTCATCATTGTTGAGATATATGTTAGATTTCTTGAATAGTCGTTGAATCTATACAATGCGCAGATGGATCAAATTTATTATTGTACGTCTCACTATCATATATGGTGTACCGCCCACTCACACTCGCTTTTGCAGGGGCAAAGATTTATGCTTCATCATAAAGTACTCTCTTCTTTGGCGCAAATATATTACGTTTAGCGAGAGAGAGAGAGAGAGAGAGAGAGAGAGAGAGAGAGAGAGAGGAGAAAAAGATTATTTCCCATTTCCTCTAGAAACGCAAATTGCAAACTCCACACGTAACGCGGAAGGTGAAAAAGCATTCTTTTTTTCTTAACTAAACTGTAATTATTGAAATAGGGTTATTTTTAGTACCGGCTTCGTACTCAATAATTTAGTTTTAAAAAAGTAGCAAAAAAATAGTTTTTATAAGACTGTAAAAAGTTGTAAAAAAGTAACTATCGAAAAATTTAATTTAACGACTAAAAAACTCGTTGTAGTCAATTCATAAAAATCACAAAAATTTGATTCTTTATTTTCCTGACACTTTCCTCATTGCAATAAAAAATTATTTCCACTTTTTCTCTTATTCTGGTAATAAGTTCAATTCTAAAATTTTATATGAAATTCAATTACTTTCCAAACTCTATAAGTTAGAATTCTTCAAAACTTCGATTATATTTAAAAAAAATTATTTATTTTCTTACTGGAATTAAAATTTAAATACTTTTAAAGTAAAAGCTTTTTGAAATATAACTATTTCTAAAAATTCAAACTAAAAAGCATTTAATAATCAATAATATTATGATCTTAAATTTTAACTGAAATTCATTTTTAAATCAATTTTTATTAGAATGTTCTACGAGAATCCAATTATTTAATAATACAAAAATAAATATATGATAGAATAATTGATTATTTCTTGAAATTTAATAGGTACATACAACAAATTTCATTAAAATAGTTGAAAATAATTCATTTTTTTCGAAGAATTATAATAAAATTTTTGAAAATAATTACATTTTTCGAGGAATCTATTTAAATTTGTAAGTATTAAAAATAATTTAAATCCTGTGAAGAATTTGATTAATTAAATTTACGAAAATAATTGAATTCTTACAACGAATTTTATAAAAAAATTTGGAAAGAATTGAATTTTGCTAAATCATTTTATGAAAATTTTATTTCAAATAATTGAATTTTGTGAAAATTTTGTTCTTCATGATATTAATTGAGAATTTTTGCTAAGAATTTTATTAATTTGTCTTTTTAAAAATTGAATTCTTTTGAGAAATTTTATGAAAATAGTTGATACATTGAAAATATATCTTAATTTCACTGAAGAATTGCATAATTTTTTAAAATAACTGAATTCTTACAAATATTATGCAAAAATTTTTGAAAATAATTGAATTGCGAATTTCGAAAAAGGCTCAACTCGGATTTTTTTCAAATTTCACTTTTTTCTATTTTTTGCATTATTATATATTCATTGACGTTTTCTTGAAAGGAAAATTTCATCTGAGGTACTTTAACGGAGAAAAATGTATTAAACTGTGTTTTCCTTTGACTTTTAACCTAAGATTGTTTGTTTTCTAACCTATTGCTGAATTGTTTTTGAGCTCAAAAAAAAGTTATTACATTTTGAAATTAAATAAAAAAGTAATTGATTTGATTTTCGATAGTAAAATATTTAATTAATATATTTTTATGATTAAAACGATTGAATTATTTTCATGAATTTCGAAAAGGGCTCAACTCTGACAACTATATTATCAATTTTCTTTAACCCACTTTAATTTAAGACTATTATTTTATCATTTTCTCATACAAAATAGCATCTAATTACTATGAAAAAAAACTGGACTCTTTTAATTAAAGCTGTTTGAAATAAAACGTTTTCTGTCTCTCCTGTAAAATTTAAAAAAACCGAGTTGAGCCCTTTTCGAAATTCGCAATTCAATTGAATTTTTGCATCGAATTTTATTAAAATTTTTAGGAAGAATTGAATTTTTTTGAATTATTTTATGAAAATTTAAAATAATAATTCAATTTCTTTGGAATAATTTATATAAAATTGTATTAAAAATAATTTAATTTTTTGCGATAAATTTTCGAAGAATTTATTTAAATTTTCATTAAAAATAATTGAAATCCTGTAAAAAATTTTATTACTTAAATTTATGAAAATAATTGAATTCTAGCAACGAATTTCATAAAAATTTTTGAAAAGAATTGAAATTTTTTAAATCATTTTAAGAAAATTTAAAAGAATAAATAATTTAATATGTTTGGAATAATTTAATTAAAATTTGTATTAAAAATAATTGAATGCTGGTAATAAATATTGTATTATATTATATGAAGACAATTCAATTCTTATAAACAAATGTTACCAAAATTTTAGAAAAAATAATTAATATCTTTTAAAGAATTTAATTTAAATAAAATTTTTGAAAATAATTGATTCCTTTCCAAAAATTTTCTATAAAATTGCATTTCATATAATTGAATTCCTGTGTGCAAAATTTTGTTGTATTGCGAAGAATTTTATTAATTTTTTTTAATAATCGAATTCTTTTGACAAATTTTCGTTTGGTTTTGAGATATTAAAAATATTTGAATTTCAGCGAAGAATTTCATTATTTGTGAAAATAATTGAATTCTTGCGAAAAATGTCAAAAAATTTTTGAAAATAATTTAATTGTTTCAAAGAATTTTATCAAAATTTTTTGAATTGCTTCTAAGAAGAATTTCAGTAAAATTTTTGAAAATAATTTTGTTGAGTTCATCTATTAGCTAATTTAAAGTGATACAAATTTAAAGAAGAAAAAAGTAGCGTTTTGTGTCCCAAATTTAGAAAAGTATACAAATAGTAGCGGATCGTAAAAAAGTAGTAAATAGTATAGGTTTTAGTAAGAATCATTTTATGATTATTTAAAAGAAAATAATTTAATTGTTTCGATAAATTTAATTAAAATTGTATTTAAAATAATTGAATTTTTTGCGATAAATTTCATTATTTAAGAAAATAATTTAATTCTTTTAAACAAATGTTACCAAAATTTTAGAAAGTAAATAATTTCTTTCAAAGAATTTTAATAAAATTTTTGAAAAATAATTACATTTTTCGAGGAATTCATTTAAATTTTGCATTAAAAATTATTGAAATTCTGTGAATAATTTTATTATTTAATTTCATAAAAATAATTGAAATTCTTGCAACGAATTGATATCAAGTTTTTGGAAATAATTGAAAATTTTTAAATTATTTTACGAAAAATGTGTTCAAAATTTTGTTGTTCGTGATATTAATTGAATTCTTGCGAAGAATTTTGTTATTTTTTTTTCAAATAATCGAATTCGTTCGAGAAATTTTTTTTTCTTTTGCTTTTAAGATTTTAAAAATATTTGAATTTCAGTGAAGAATTTTATTATTTGTGAAAATAATTGAATTCTTGCAAAAATTTTTGAAAAAAATTAAATTGTTTCAATGAATTTTATCAAAATTTTTTGAACTGTTTTTAAGAAGAATTTTATTAAAACTTTTGAGAATAATTTTTTTATTTTAATTATTAGCGGATTTAAAGTAGTGCAAATTAAAAAAAAAGAGAGAAAAGTAGCTTTTAGTATCTCAAATTCAAAAAAAGTATCCAAATAGTAGTGAATCGTAAAAAAAGTAGTAAATAGTAGGTATAAGTAGACGCGAGTGCGAAGCCTTTCAGTAAACTATGTCTTCATATATTCTCACAAAAAACTGCAGATATTCTAGAATATTTAAAATACTTGACTTTACTTTTTTTTATGGGTAAAATCCAGAAATATCTGCAATGTTGATGAAGAAATGAAATTCATTAAATTTCCGTGTAGAATTTTTAGAGGAAATATCAGTGTCAAGTTGTCTTAAAAACTGACATACATCACATATCTTGTATGAGGATTTTTAAAAAATTTCAATTACTTTCTTATATGTAGAAATTTGTTTCTCTTTTTTTTCGCGGCAACTACTTTGAAGTTTCAACATACATTAAATTAATCATAATGTTTCAATTTTCTCTTGATTTCTTAAATCTTTTACTTGTTTATATTAATCGAAGACATTAAAATAACGCGCGAGAGAATATTATTTCACGTGTTAATAAATTCATACTTTATTAACATTAAGAAATTTCAGTTATGAATTTTATTTTCTATTGATAATTGGAATTTTATTTCCTAAAGTAATAAAATTTTATTTCCTAAAGTAATAAAATTTTATTTTCGAGTAAATCATTTAGATTTCGAAACGTTGAAGTAAATATATTTTAATCATTGTCCAAATGTTTTCGTTTAATTTACAATGATTTCTAAAAATTAAAAACAAAAATTTTTAATTGTTTTTGATTAGGTATTAATTTTTATTTCGGTTATTTAATGAAGAGGGATAAGTTTATAAAATTTTTCTCTTCTACCAAAATTATTTAAATTAAATATATTGATTTTACGTTTATTGGGAAGAATTTCGAATTGAATGAACTTTGAACCGAAATGTTATGAAACTGATTTTTGAAATATGCCTGCGAACTTGGCCCTGTAATCATTAACGAGTTGGAACTCCGACACCCATATGCACAACAGCAACTGAGTGAGTGGATATCTATAATTTAAATCTCAGACGAGTATAAGTGGCGTAAAATTATTGTAATTAATAAAGTGTATATCTACACGTATCTCCCATGTGTTCAAAAAAAAAGAAGAAGGTAGGTATAGTTTTACTGAAAATATTTATCTCATCACTGTGATCTGTCCAATTTATTATTTCCTTAAATTTCCTCTCAAACGGAAAAAAAATTCTTTTCCGTACAATTTATTATTCCCTTAAATTTTCTCTCAAACGGAAAATAAAGAATAATATTTGAAATTAGAATATTTAAAAAAAAAATATAATTAACAAATAAAAATTACCCATTCTGTTTATTATTATATGCTTTTTTCTATAACTAATTTCGTTTGACTGATCCAAATTAAGCAAGTTTTTCTCCTTTTTATTTATAAAAAAAATTAGAAAATTGTTAATTGTTAAAAAATTATGATTAAGAAATAGGAAATATACCCACTTTATGCATAATTTTTATTTCTCCAATAACATAACATTTTTCACAAACACATTTTTTTTCTTTTGGAAAAAAAAACATTACATATTCCCGTTTCAATTTTTATTAGAAAATTCTACGAGAATTAAATTATTTAAATACAAAAGTAAATAATTTATTGAATAATTGAAATAATTGAAATTCTGTAATGAGTTTCATTATTTATGAAAATAATTGAATTCCTCAAGAGAATTTTATTATTTATAAAAATAATTGAATCCCTGTAAAAAATTTTATTATTTTTCAAAATGTTTTAGTAGATTTTTATTAAAATTAAAAAAATTTTTTTTAAATTTTGTCAAGAATAATTTTTCATTATGAAAATAATTCAATTGTTTCGAAGAATTTTTTTATTTATAAAAATAATTGAATTATTTCGAATATTTTATGTCATTTTTTTATTTTAAAAATAATTTGATTATTTTTTTTAAATTTTATTAAAATTGTATAAAATATGTGGATTCTCCTAAACAAATTTTTTTATATAATTGAATTTTTAAAAAGAATTTTATTATTTATGAAAATAATTAAATCACTAAAAATTGTTATTATTTATCAAAATAATTGAATTATTGTGAAGAGATTTATAAAAATTCTGTAAATAATTAAATTCCTGTGAAATTTTTATTATTTTTTAAAATAATTGACAAGAGGTTTTTTAAAGTTACTGTAACTTCTTCAAAAATTACTTTCATCATTGCGATTATTCATTTCTAGAATTTTCAACTAAAATAAATTCTTCTTCAAGTCAATTTTTTAAAATAATTTTTGAAAATGTTCTTTGTAAATTTTCAAATTCTTTTGCTTACAATTTAATTTTACGAAATTTCGATTATTCTGACATTCTTCAATTAAATATATTAGAAATTAAAAACTTCGTATAATTAAAAAAAAATCCATTTAACTTATTGAGAAAAATTAATTCTATAAAATTCTTAATTCTTAATAGTATGAAAAGTTCAAATTTTCAAAGACTTTAATTTGAAATTCATTTTTAAATCAATATTTATTAGAAAATTCTATACAAGAATTCAATTATTTAACTATAAAAATAAATATTTTATTAAACAGTTGAATGTTTCTTAAAATTGAATTTGCATAAAGAATTTTATCAACAAATTTTTAAATAATTGAATTCTCTTGACAAATTTTAATAAATTTTTTAAGAATAATTGCATTTTTCGAGAAATTTGATGAAAATTGTATTGAAAATAATTGAAATTCAGCATTGAGTTTTATTATTTATGATAATAATTGAATCCCTATAAAAAATGTTATTATTTATGTAAATAATTGAATAATATATGAAAATAGTTTGTAAATAATTGAATTCCTGTGAAATATTTATTATTTATGAAAATAATTAAATGTTTGCGTAGAATTTTATTAAAATATTTCAAACTAATTGAATTCTTTTAGGAGTTTTTATTAAAGTAGTAGATATTAAAAAATCATTGAATTGAGAAAAGTTTTTGAAAATAATTAAAACTTTGACAACAATTTTATTAAAATTTTTGAAAATAATTGAATTTCTGAGAAGAATTTTACTACTTTTGAAAATAATTGAATTTCTGCAATCATTTCGATCGAAATTTTCCTGACTTTTCCCGATTTTTTCAAGGTTAATAAAATTCCCTGACATTTCCAGGTTTTATTTTAAATTTTATTTAAAATTTTTAAAAATGAATTATATTTTAAAAAATGCTAATTCTATTTTAAAAAGGAAATAAGAAGTTAGCTATTATTGCTCGTTATTTAAAGAAAACAGGGAACATTATGTAAAAATGTTTTTAAAAAAGAAACTTTAAAATTAACGATTTTTATTTTTTATAGAAAGAGCGATTTTTTAAAACGTGAAATTTTTTATTAAATGGAAAAATTTTTTCTTTAGAAAAATAGATTCGTTAGCATAGTTTAAAAGATGACATTCAGAAAATTAGTGACGTAATCTAGTGGAGTGGACAGTGTTGAATATTAACTGCTGTACCATATTTGAGCGCTAAAGTCTTTCATCATTGTTATTGCGTCTATTCGTGTAAATTTATATGTGCATATAGCATTGGAGCAGAAAAAAAATCATCATCAGTAACAAACGAGCTCTTGTTCAGAATGGAACTTACCTCGATTCTTGCTGCAATTGTTTTTGTGCTAATTTTAATTTATTTTTATCTATCATGGCAGTACAATTATTGGCAAAGACAAGGAGTACCCTCGGCGAAAGGGGCAATTCCAGGACTAGGACACATGCTACCAGTGTTTACGACACAAAAAAGTATGGCAACCGTGTGCGAAGAACTCTACAAGTCAGGCAAAAATTACAGCATGTACGGCTATTATCGTCTCTTCTCACCACTACTCCTTATTCGTGACCCCGAAATCGTCAAGAATGTTTTTCTAACAAATTTCTCCTCATTCAGTGAGAATCCCATGCAAATAAATTCTTCCAAACGTGACGAACTCTTAGGTTTGAATCCCTTTTTCGTGAGTGGCGAGAAATGGAAAGAAGCACGTGCACCATTGTCAAATAGTTTCTCCAGTATGAAATTAAAAATCCTAATGTCCCTTGTTTTGAAAGTGTCGACAAAAATGTCCAAATACTTGCACACTGAATGTAAAACAGAAAAGGAATTAGATCTCAACAAGCTCTGTCATAAATTTACCGGTGAAATATCATCGACTGGAATGGGTATCGAGGCTCATAATTTCCAAGAGGAATTACAACCGAAAAATGGTGAGATGACGTACAATCAGATATTAAACAAGATTTTTGAAAATCCATCATTGAGTACGGGAATACATCAGATGATAATGTTTTTCATCCCATCATTGGCGAAGATTATGAATCTCGCATTGACACCAATTGAGGTTGATCAGTACTTCAGAGAAATTGCAAAGAACATTATTGCAAATAGACAAAGGGAGAAAGGAACTTATAACGATTTTATGCAAATTGTGCTTGATTATCAAAAATCTCATGGTACAAATATGAATCAAGAGACACTTGCTGCAGCGCACATGTTGTCGTTTGCAGCCGATGTTTACGAAACGTCAGCAAAAACAATGAGTTTTCTAATAACCGAAATAGCCGCTCATCCTGAAATTCAACAGAAAGTTCGTCAGGAAATTCAAGAATTAGACACAAAATACAATGGGGAAATTACTTACGATTCCTTGAAAGAAATGACATACTTGGAGAAGGTCTTATCCGAATCGCAGAGGATGCATCATATTGTAGGAGCATTCTTCAAAATTTGTACAAAACGAACGAAACTTGAGGGTTCTGATGGTTTATCGTGTGTTGTTGAACCGGGACACACGATTGCTGTTTCTTCCTTTGGTTTTCAAATGGATCCGAAATATTGGAACGAACCGGAAAAATTTGATCCTGAAAGATTCGATGATAGTGAGAAAAGTAAGAGGAATAAATTTGTTTTTCTTCCATTTGGCGAAGGACCGCGAGTGTGCGTTGGAATGAGATTGGCTCTAATTATGATAAAAGTGGCAATTTTCACGATTTTCAAAGACTTTCAAGTGGACGTTTCGCCGAAAATGATTTATCCAATCAAGAGAGATGAGACCAGTTTTCTGAATACGGCAAAAGGTGGTTTTTGGGTGACCCTAACACCGTTAAAATCTTAAATTTAAGTTCTTAAATTGTTACCCAGATAGCAGGGATAGTTGCAGTGATTTTACGGAAAAACTTTCAAACTAAGATTTCTTGTTCTGCTGTTCTTAAGTTGTTCAAATTTTTTTTTAAAAATGTGACCGGTGTAGAAGAGATTTCAATGATTTTGATTATAAAAATCAGTAATTAAAGTACCTGAAGTTGGCGTTAAAGAATAATTTTTCCAGCAAAAAACTATAAAAATTAAAACCTTTTTTTAAAAACTATTTAAGGTCTAAAAAGTGAATTAAAAATGTTTTTGTTTGTTTGGTGAATGTGAAAGTGATATTTTCGGCTCCAGAAACCCTAAATAATTGTTTTCGACACTAAAGGTCGACGCTGACTTCTCAGAGACATGTTTAGTACAATTATTTTTCTTTTGCTTAAAATAAAATATAATGTAATTGTATACTAATAATTAAAAACTGTAAAACAATTATTTAAAACATTTCTTTTGCTTCAAATAAAATATATAATATAATTGTTACTGTAATAATTGTATAGTGATAAATAATAATTGTATATTTCTAAACAATAATTGTATGCTTATTAATAATTGGTGACAAGGACTGAAGAAAGAGACCGAGCAAAAATTATAGGTAATATTATGCCAGCTTTACATTGATTGAAGATGCATTATTTAATTTAAAAAACAATTTTTAAATAAAGTAAAAGAATAATTTACTAATATTAATAAATAGCATAAAAGAAAAGAAAATTTTAGAAAAAGATTTTTTTAATCAAAAATTAATAATGCACGCAATTGTCTACGCACATTGAGAATTTAAATATTCAAAAATGGAAAAAAATTAAAACATAAAAAATTTATATTCTTACTTTTTATTTAAATAAATGGATTTTACAAAATTCTTTGTCAAATTAATTTATCAAAAAAATTTGCCATTACGAATAACAATAATGCCAAATACAGTAATACCAAATAATTAACGAATAATTACATTACACCATTAAAAGAATTACGAGACTTTTATATATATAAGAACATTGATAAAATAGTTACCAGAAGAATAATGAAACTGAAGAAAATTTAAAGATTTAGTGAAAATGCATAATATGCACTGAGAGAAAAGAAAAGTTGTGGTAATCATTTTTTGCAAGATTATTTTTAATTAGGAAACTATACTGCTGCTAACTTATTGGTTGGTGTTACAATTTTTATTAGTAAACTGACGCGCAGCAATTGACACAGTGCGCAGAATTAGACGCTTTTGATATTCTTTTTAATTATTTAATTTTAATTAAATGCTCTAATTTCATAGGCTATTAATGTTTGTAAAAATTTCTTAAGAATACATGCAATTGGTTTAATAAATTTTTAATTAAATTCCTTTGCTATAAATATTTTTTTTCTATTCAAAAGATATATTGACTGGAATATTTAGGGGTTAATATGCTCCAAACACCCTCATTTAACTTCCAATCATCAAAATTATCATTTTTCTTTGGTTGGAAAATGTATTTAAAGCATTTAGGGTAAGTCCGGGGGAGATGGCCATATGGGAGAGATGGCCAGTTCGAATATTTTACAAAATTTGTAAAGAAATATCACTTTTTATGGGTTATTCTTCAACCTTTTGTGATTAATAATAAATCTAAACAATAATTTGATGAAAAATAATGAAGCTGTAAGTGTAATCCTTGTTTATTTTTTTTGCATGGGTCCAAAATAATTTGAAAATTTCAGATTTCTTGTTGCTATATTGTTATTTGTTAACATAATTTTTAAATTTAAGTTTTATTGAGTAGTGTATAACCCACGCTTCGATATAAACGAAAAATGAAAGGAAAAATTATTTTATTTATTTAATATTTTGATGTTTACTTTTATCATGAATTTTTGGGTAAGATGGCCATTAATGACTTTTATTTAAAATTTTTTTATGTTAATGTTAGATACTTGAGAAATATTAAAGAAAAGCAAATTAAAAATGTCTGAGAACAAAATAATTGATCTAATTGACACCAGAGATGGAGATTTATTTGTAGGTTGTGCTAAAAGTTACAACCGAACGACATTAATTGAAGATTGAATTCAATGCAGAATTTGACACTTGTGGCTACATGAAAACTGCTCTGAACCCCATGAAAAATTTTCAAAATGCGACCAGAAAAAGAGGAAAGTGATGTGAACGATTAAAAATTAAATTTAAGATAAAAGCCAAAAATTATAGGTAGTGGCCATCTCACCCGGACATTCCAGAGAAATGGCCAAATGCACTTTTTCGAAAATGTAAATTTTAAGATTGTTGCAATGAAAATATTTTATTTTATGTTTCTTTATTTTCAAGTTAAGTGTTCAATGTTTAATTATCAATAAAAGTTTAGACAAAAAAAGCTTTTTTATCAATTTTACACTACTTTAAAAAAACTATGGCCATCTCCCCCTGACTTACCCTAAATGAAAATTTCAAGAGGACCGAAAACAGGCCTTATCGACCTCCCTCCTTTAAAAATTTTAATCTTCAATTCATTAATAGACATTAAACAGCGATTAAAATTAAGTCTTTTCTAAAATGAATTAGTTGACATTCATTTTTCTTTATTAAGCAACGTATAAAACGAATTCAATGTCATTAAAGGCTACAGTTGGTTGAAGGTATTAAAGGGCATTAAATTCGAAACTAATGATTCCCTTAAACGGCATTAAAGGAAATTCAAATTCTGGTCACGTGGTTACAGAGATTTATATAGCTCCTTAGGTTTGTTTATTTTTTTACTATCAATCTAATTTCTTTAAATACTTACCTATTGTTATTGCTCAAATTTTTATAATTTTTCATTTTTCTCCAAGAAAGTTATTTACATTCAAAAATCGTGACAATAAGCAAAGTGCCAATTTGAATTGCCTGTTCATTCACGATTCTCACATTTAGTGGATGAAATTTGCAAAATGAGGTTATTTGACAGGTGAACTTTAAGATCATTTTTTCATTTAAGAGGACATTCCAGTTCAAAACAGGCAAAAAGAAGGCTTTTTAGTATATATTATTAAAATAACTATGACATTTATTTACGAAATTTCTTTTACATGTAATAAATAATTTATTTAAGAATTTGTAAAAAAAATTTTTTTTCATTTTTATTTCAAAATGGCGGCGATATACGCCATTTTTGAAAATGCCTATTTTCGGTGGTAAGATCGATTCCAAACTTTCTAAAACAGGTAAAACCGAAAACAAAGTGACATTCTTTTCGTTAGATATTTCTTTGGGTGTGGAACCTCAAAAAAGTGGAATTTTCTTCCCCCCCTTTTTTTAGAGTACTTTTTTCCCATAATATGCCAAAAAAAGGTGTTTTTATTCAGAATTTCTCTTATAAAAAAAAGAGGAGTTGGAAATTTTTCAGTTTTTGAGGTTCCACTTATAGGCATGATGACGCTAAATCAATAGCCGTTTGATTTTTTAAAATCGCTTCAGAAGAATTCGAGATATCACTCTTACCAGATCAAAAAAAGACATTTTGAGAAAAACGCATTTAAAGTTTTTGTTCATAAGTTTCGAAATATTTTTTTAAAAATCATCGGATTTGCTTGAAAATCGTTAGTCGGGGGTTTTTGAGGTCGCTAATTACGAATATGGAATCAGATTTTTAAAATTCAAAATGGCGGATCCAATATGGCGGACATTTTTTTCAAAATCATTGGATTTGCTTGAAAATCGTTACGGGGGGGTTTTTGGGGTCGCTGATTACGAATATGACATCATTTTTTCAAAATTAAAAATGGCAGATGCAATATGGCCGACGAAAAAAAAATTAAAATTAAAAAATTTTCTTTTCCGCCATATTGGATCCGCCATTTTGAATTTTGAAAATTTGATATCTAATTTGTGATCAGCAACACCAAATACATTTTTGTTTGTCTTTTTTAAAAAATGCAAATGAAAAAACATTTAAATCATTCGATTGCTTATCCGCATACAAAAACATCTTTGACATGGCGAAGAATAAGGATGTATAACTTTTATGTTTTACTTCGAATTTTGCAATAATATTATAGGAGGGTATTCTTGACACTATAAGAAATCAGAAAATAAAAACAAAAAAAAAATCGATTTTTTTGACATTTTGAACTGGAATGTCCCCTTAATATTTCTTATAATTAATTGTAAATTATATATAATAGTAAATTATTATATGATTTCTTTAATATTTTCTAATAGATGAAAAAGTGACAATTTTTCAGATCTCATATACTTTAGATGCTTATTTTACACTAAATATTAAAAATATTTAAAAAATTCTTTTTGTTCAGTGATCCTAATGCCTTTAAAATTATTCCTGCAAAATATTATAATTTTTTAAAATTAATCGGCGACGACTTTATTCGAAATATAATGGAATGACTCAGCTACAGTAAATAATTTTATTCGTAAAATAGAAAAGGAGTTCTGATGATAAAAGTTAATGTGATATTAAAAACTTGTAACGAGGTGAATCGTTACTTATTTCTCCAAATCTGTCGTGTGTAGGAAAAGTAAATTTCATTATAGTAAGTTGTTCGTCGTTCTCTCTCTTATCATAGTTTTGTCTTGTTTTCTTGTCAAGTCCCTTGTGTGTGTCCTTGGTTCAGCAACCCGAGACCTGTGTCATTCGTGAAATCTGAATTTAAATGATTTCGCGCATGATTAATTGCCAGAGACCGTCACATGACCAATGACCCTTTCCAAGACCATTTTAGGTGCTGTACAGTGGGGATAAGAAAGAAGGGTTTTTCCCAATTTTCCATAGGAAAAAGGAAGAAGCAAAATATGATGAGGAAGCCAACCGGTGATGAGGAGATCGGATTTACACTTGCTTGTCACTTACTTGCAGAGGTTCAAGTAGTCGCGACGTGGTTTTTGACTAGTGTCAATTATCAAGATTTTTGTTAAAGATATTTTATTTTATATTTTGTTATTTAACTTAGAGTTTATTTGGTTTAATTAATAAATGGGTTTTATTTTTATGAATTAAGAGTTTTTAGTGTTTTATTTCTATTTTTTGTTTGTGCTGTAAACGGTTGAGAGTGCCAAAGTCGTTATAATTTGGTAGCGTCTCAACGGTCATTTGTGTAAAAAGGAATGGTCCATTGACAAAGTTGTTTTTACATCGCAGCTTGGAGAAGAGGAACTCCCCGATGAGATTTGTGAAGATTTTGTTGTGGTGAAGTTAGTTTCGGAGTAACGGGTCGAGATGTAAATTTGTGACGTTTTATTTTTCTTTGAAAAAATTCTATATTGCAAATTCCACCCTTACAAATGGCGCCCAACGTGGGGCCAGTTTCTTTTCCTGTGACCGGACCATGATTGACCTTTTTGATTTAATTTGACCGTATTTGGCCTAATCCCAAGCCCAGGAGTAAGCCCAAGCCTAATCCCAAGCCCAGGACCAAGCCCGAGACCAGTTCGACCAAAAAAAGTGACCCTTATACGGCATGACCGACCGTTTAGTGATTTTTAGTGTGTAAAAAGAAGATAGTTTGTTTTCTCTTGTGTTATATTCGTTTATTTATATTCGTTTTTCTTATGGTGTGATAGGATACATTTTTGTTTCAACGGTTTTTGATGGACGAGTACTTGAACGCGGCGTGCTATCAGGTGAGCGGATTTTGGCGGTAAAATGAGTCACAATAGCAGCTGACTGCCGTTTTTCCACCGCGCGATAAGTTTTGAGTGCAATTAGTTTTCACAAAAGAAATAATATTTTTAAGGAATTGTATTTACGAGATTTGTACTGTTTCTAAACTGACCTTTTCCGACTAGTAGTGTAGGATTTGGCATGGTTT